GTGTTGCTGTGTGCCACGGCGTAGCCGTGGCGAGTTCCACTTGTTATATTCAAATTTATGAAGAGGAATCGCTTACTTCATGAGAGGAAGGCCTTAAGTTATGCTCTTCCACTGTTTGCTATTCAGTTCATTCAGCCTCTGACTTTGTGTTCTCTTTCTTTTTTTCTCTATGTGCTTTGCTGTCTTTCTGCATGTCGGTTATTAATACGTACCCCTGGGAACACGCACATGCTTGGAACGCTGTGAGAACAACATCTGTGACCCGCTGTGAGGTAACAACGTTCCCACCCACCACTGCTGCATTGTCGCTGGGCGATAGAAAACAGCCTGGGGGTATCTTGATTGCAACAGGAGTCAGGCACCCCTGATTAAGGGGTATGTCAACATCAACCTGACAATGCACAAAAGCAGTCAACACAGAACAAACATGAGTGCACAAGGTCAAGGCACTCACCTGAAATTTCGATGAGAGCTAAAAAATGTTATGCATGATGCATGTCATCTAAGTGGCGTATGAGTGGAAGGGCCAAGTTTTCACCAGTGTTCATTGAGAGTGGCGATGGACAAGTTGATAGCGCGACGATATGTAATTCTCATGTCATCTTCGTCGTAATACATTTTCTCTCTCAAATGGCAGCTTGGTCTGAACCGAGCAGCAATAAGGGAAGAGCTGGAAGACGTGCTGTGATGAGAGAACTCTATGTTGCAGGACAGTAAAAAAACCCAACCATGCTAAGGTTTGGGGACAGGACATGAGCAAAACACAAACCAGGAATGAACAGTATGGACAATGAAGAAGATGATAGCGCCATGACATGTAATGCTCATGTCATCTTCTCCATACAACATTTTCTCTCTCAAATGGCATCTTGGTGGGAACCAAGCAGCAATAAGGGAAGAGCTGGAAGATGTGCTGTGATGAGAGAGCTCTTTTTTTTTTTTTTTTAAATATAAACAGGTCCTTATGGTCCTGGCTCCACATCCATTCTGGGGAGCATCCGTCCAGTTCCTGTTCACCAGCAAGTCGAGAATTGGAATATATGGTGAACACTCCCATGCTTTCTTCCGTCTGGCTGAAAGAACCCTGACCAGAATTGATTGCCCCGATGTCGGAGGATTGACTGCGAGCTTGTCCTACCACTTTTCCTCTCAGAACCCATTTTGAAACGGTTTTCATCTCTTTGCAGTAGCAGATGCAGATCCCAGGGTTCGATCCCTAGACCTTGTCCTACCTGTGTACAGTACCTGTGTAGACCCGGAGAGTTGAACCTGTGACCTGTGTGTTCGTAAACAGTTGGTAGGCTGTCCTAGGTCCGTAGGTAGTAGGGGTTCGATCTGTAGACCTGTAGAATAGAGGTCTTGGCGAATTCCAGAAGTCTTAGCTGTAGTCCTTCTAGAAGGTCAGCAAGTGGGCAAGTGGTGAGTCAAGTGGTGGACTAAACTGCAGTGCAATTGCAGTACGACTCTGGTAGGTTAGCAGTGAGTCCCCACTCAGTCAGCGGTCAGGTCCAGTCAGTCCCAGTCCGGTTCAGCAAGTACCACAAGGGACTGTGAGCACCATGGGCCGATGGCAAAGGGCAGACCAACGAGTTTCAGGAGTATAAATCAAGAGGCAGCGCCCAGCCATTCATTCATTCCTGCGTGAGCAATGCGGAAGCGCTGCCACAGGGACTTGTGCAAGGAGGTCTGCAGTGAGCCCGGAGTTGAAGTGGGCGAGAGAGAAGGAGCGTAGCATAGCGATAGGGTAGTTGGGGCCACAGCCGCCATAGCTAGAGTTAGTGTGTAGTGAGTGTGTGTGTGTGTGTGAGTTCAGAGAGTCGCGTGTGGGATATCCAGGGTGATCCGGTGTATGTGAACAGAGAGTTGTTTGGGCGCTGAGTCGCCATAGTCATTGGAAGTGAACTCTTATCTGGGTTGCCATATCTCTGAATTTTGAGTGGCCGCATGTCGCCAGTTTGCTGTGCTACTGTTCGCATGCATGTACAGTGTGAATGAAAACGAGTCTGATTGCATTGGTATCGGAGCTGGTACCCGCTATTCCACGCGCTGCGTCGTGTACAGGGCCTGATGCGCCATAGCGGAGGTGGCCGCCAAAAGAAGAAGTCCGCCATAGCGGACCTGAAGGTTGGAGAAGCCACCGCGCACCTGAAGAGAAGACCACGACGAAGAAGAAGACCGAGAGAGAGAGAGAGAGAGAGAGAGAGAGAGAGAGAGAGAGAGAGAGAGAGAG